AGGAGATAGATGTGGAGAAGGGGCTGGACGGGGAGTTGGCGTGCTTCCTCTCATCCGCCCTCCCGAGGGTCACGGGTCTGAGGGCCCAGAGCCAGCGTAGCTCCCATCTTCCAAAACCTCGCCCCACCGCTTTCTTCTCGGCTCTTAGTAGCCCTTTAGGCCTGGGCAGAGGTTTCAAGTTCCAATTTTGCACGTAAAGAACTGAGGTCTAGGAAGAGGAGGTCACCAGCACCATAAAGACACTTGCTGCAGAGAAATGGGAGAATATTCATCCTGGGAACACCTCGAGGATCCCGGGGACTGGGTATCTCCATGTTTGCTGGTGAAGATGTACAGGCTTAAAAGGCAGGTCCTGAGCTGCCATTGTGGCTGCACTGGCCCTGCCTTGCTCCAAAGCCTTCTATGGCCCACAGGCCAGATCCTACACTCGTCAGCCAGAGCACCAAACCTTGGAGGATTTGGTTTCTCCCTGACCCTCTTGTACTGACAGCTATCTGAGAGTTCCTTTCCTGCAGAGGCCGCTGGGTCAGAGCCAGACAGGAAGTAGAGCCTCCCTGCCCTGGGGCTTATAAAGCCCAGAGGGCATGAACTTCTTAGGACAGAGTGAAGGCTCCTGGCTACTTCCTGTCCAAAGGTGGGAGTAGAAGAAAAACAGATAATAATCTCTTCCCAGATTCTGGGCCTGTCTCAGCTCTACTCCCATCCTGTGCTCCTAGAGCCAGGACCTTTGGCTCAGATAAGCCTCATCATCCTATTCCCTCCTCACCCCCCACCAAGTTGCTTGAATTGAAATATGTCTTTGACGGTCCTTAGGGCATTAAAATGGGATGAGGAAAGAAAAGAACATCTTTGCGAACATCTATGGCTTCTATTGATTAGCCACTAATGCTTTATCCTTTTAGGCTACAATATTATCTCCATAAGGACTCCTTGAAAGTACATTTCTGGGGCTGATGGTAGAGGAGGAATGTGTTATCCCAGCAGCATTCAGTTGAACCCAGCACATGTTTACAGATGCCCAGGTACTCCTGGCTCTGCCAGCTATGCGTAGGCAATATAAATTAGACAAGAGGATTGATCCCTGCTCAGTCCTATAAGGAGAGCATCACATGGCTTGGGTTGTCAGATTCAATGGCAATTGCCTAACAGAGAATAAGGCTTTGTGGGGGCCGTTGGACTTGTGACAGATTAATTTTGATGTATGGGAAAAGAAAACAGTCCCTAACTAGCTCCTGCCAAAAGATAAGGGGGTGTTAGGCAGGGAGCCAAATTGTGAGCCCTGAGAAGGAAGGAGCCTCTGAAGGGGAAGGTGGGCAAAAGGTACACTTGACTGAGTTCATTCTACTTGCAGTTGTGCTTCCAAGGCCCTATTGGCTTTACTTGACTGCTTCTGCTCTCTTGCCCCCAGATGCGCCCCAGAGCTGGCCCTCCTGCCTCTGCCATGGCCTCATCAGTTTCCTGGGGTTCTTGCTGCTGCTGATCACCTTCCCTGTTTCTGGCTGGTTTGCCCTGAAGGTAAGGCTGGCTGGGTCAGCCCCCAGGATAGTTGGGCCACACTGAAAGCTTTGGCATTGGCGAATGAAATCCCCATTCTCTGCCCCCTTATCCTAAATATGATATTATTATACCTCTGAGATGGACAAGGCAAGGATTGTTCATTCCCATCTTTCAGAAGAAGAAGCTGAGGCTCAGACATGTCCAAAGTCACACTGGGAGTAAGTAAGGGGTAGAAACAAGACTTTCCGAATTCCCAGGTCCTCGGATCTGGACACTGACTTTAAGGTACACACAGATATCTTTGCCAAATCAGCCTCCCTTTGGGTTAGGCTGATTTAGAAATGAAAACACCCAATTCGGCCCAGCAGGTAATGCATAATAGGAAATCAGGCCTCTTTTTTTCACAGGGGTGGTACGAGTGGGAAAAGGATGAATAATAAAGCTGTAGTTGAGCGTCACACCTGAAAGCTGCGGTGAAAGTGGAAGCCCAGGCAGACCTTGCCCTTTGTGCAGCCCTAGACAACAGTCAACTTCTCTAGAAAGCCTCTGGGTTTGGTGCGTCTCTAGAAAGCCTCTTGGTTTGGTGCAGTCTGGAAGGGTGGTCCTTAGGTGATCCAAATCCTAGTTCTAAAATTGCCACTGAAACAAATGCTGTGTGACCTTGGGCAAGTCACTTTGCCTTCCCAGGCCTTCATTTCTCAATTTGGACATAACTATTTCTTTAAGTGCTCCAGGGACCTGAAACTGGCAAAGCCCTTTGCTCTGGGGTGTTGTTAGAGCAGCCCAGCCTTTTCTCCTAATTAATCCAGGGCAGACAGTGTCCTGGTTCTAGTCATGTCTAGCCTAGCTTCAGACCACAAAGATGAAAAGTTTCTCTGAGGATCAAGTCAACACAGTGTGGTGGTTGAGACACATGGCCTTTGGAGCCATTCAGAACTGCATTCAAATCTTGCCTGTTTCACTTATGGGCTGTTTGATTTTTAGGAAATCACTTAGCCTCTCTGAGCCTTGGTTTCCTCATCTAAAAACAGAGCTAAGGATACCTGACTGTGATCAAGGTGAAGGGGAGAGCGGGGAGGTAGGGACCTGGGCAAATGTCACTGGCCAGCCTAAGCTGACCACTTGCAATCCTTTCCCTTGCTACTGTGAACAGATCGTGCCCACCTATGAGCGGATGATCGTGTTCCGGCTGGGCCGGATCCGTACCCCCCAGGGGCCTGGCATGGTTCTGCTCCTTCCCTTTATTGACTCCTTTCAAAGAGTGGATCTGAGGACACGAGCCTTCAGTGTCCCTCCCTGTAAGGTGAGAGGCTTCTCAGTTACCCTGGACAGAGGGAGTGGGGCTTGTGCAGAATTTATTGTGGGGGTACCAGGACTTTGGCCTATGAGTAGCCATCTAGCGGGGGTGAGGAGGAAAAGGGGTAAACAGACCAGAAAATTGAGGATGGGGGCTAGGAGTACATTCTTGCTTTATACATGTAAACCCATGTACTTGGGGGTATCATTTTGCCCTTGAAGAGCTAACTGCCAGGCAGTGAGTCAAACAGGGTTGTCCCATTGGGCCTGAGCTCCCTGCAGCCCCAGTTCCTTGAGTGTCTTCTCTCACGGCCTCCTCTAACAGCTGGCCTCAAAGGACGGAGCTGTGCTGTCTGTGGGGGCAGATGTCCAGTTCCGCATCTGGGACCCTGTGCTGTCGGTGATGACTGTGAAGGACCTGAACACAGCCACGCGCATGACGGCACAGAATGCCATGACCAAGGCCCTGCTTAAGAGGTCACTGCGGGAGATCCAGATGGAGAAGCTCAAGATCAGTGACCAGCTCCTGGTAGGCAGTTCCCCACAGGATAGAGCTTGGTGGCTGGCACCTGGGCCTGGCTCTGCCTGCCAGGTCACTTTGAGCAAAGCACCAGATTGCTCTGGGCCTCAGTTTACCATATGTTCAGGAGTGTACCACCTTCGAAGACCCAGTGGGCTGTGTGGGGCTATAAGTTGAGGAGCAGAAGGTGTGCACAGACCATAATGATCTTGGGCAAACATGTCCCTGAGAAGGGGAAGTGGCCCTGGCAGAAATTCTTGGGTCCCTGTCTCTGACTGCTGAGGTTTCACCCTCCACTGCTCTACAATGATGACACTAAGCCTCAGGGGCCCTCTGCAGTCCCCATTCAGGCCTGACTCACAGGGCAGGAAGGTGGGTGGAATGAGCAGGGCCCCTGCCAACCCAATCACCTTCTGGGGAATTCCGTGCTCACACAGTGCTGCACATATTGTGGTTTTGGAACAGAACAAAGAGACATGAGGATATTTGGATCTTTTTCCTGCCTCTTCTCCATATGTATGAAAAATTACCTATGCTGGAATTTACCGTTCTGCTACAAGATGGAGTAGAAATAAAAACTCATGCAGCAGCATGTACCTCGCAGCCACGCTCAACTTGTGCTTCTGGCCCGTTATGGGAATGTGGGTGATGTGTTCCTACACTCCCCACAGGAGAGGGAGTGTGATAAATGCCAGTCCAGGAGGTCCTCCATCCCTTTAGCAAGTAAATCAGTGAGCAACTAGCTGGGTGAAGTTCCTGAGAAAGTGCTCTTTGCAATTATAACAGTAGCTCTCCCTTGCATAACATTTTATGGTTTACAAAGTCCTTTTGCCTGCCCCAGTGTGTTAGTTTCACGTTTTTACTGCAAGAGGGCCAGTATTACTGTTTTATTGGAGGGAAGAATCTAAGGTTCAGAAATGATTGGACTTGCCTCTAAGAACTATGGTCAAGAGCAGAGCTGGGCCAGAACCAGACCGCTTGCCCTCCCACCCCCAATCCAGTGCTTGATCCAACACAACTCAGATAACAAGTTGGTAACAATTTTTCTTCATAAAACCCCATCCCATTTTAATTCACCTTTAGGGAGAGAAGTGATCTCAGCCTTCTCGCACATTGCTTTAGTGTGAGAGAGGCGGTTTGGGGAAGTCAGTCCCACATCAGGATGTGAAAGTCATTTAGAGCCCATTGCCCAGACTGAGTTGGCACCTGGCAGAATGGGGTCAGTGCCTGTGGTTGAAACGGTATCTCAGGAAATCCAGCACACCTCCCTCAAGCTCTGGTTCAGGCAGACATTTCTCTTTCTCACTGCCCATTTGCCTAATTTTCATCTGGAGGGATTGCAGACCCCCTCCCTCCACTCTGCTGTACCCTCTTTAGTGGCTTACCCACCCCTTACCCACTCGTGCTCCAGGCATCTGCTTCACCCCTTCACTGCCCTCCTCCAGCCACCCCTCACCCCCACCCCCTCACTGTCTGCAGCAGGCCTTGCCTCTTCATGCTCAGAACAAAAAACTCTAGGACAAGAACCTCTCGGCTTCCTCCAGCTTCAGCCCTTCAAAGCCATCTGCATCTGTGCTGTTTTTCCTGCCTCATGTCCTGCCTGCTGCCTCTCTCTCAGCCTCATCCCTGCACTGGGCAGTGCTCTGGGCCCCACCTCCTATCCCAGGACTCCTTCCCTCCCTGGATACAGTCTTTCTCTCTCCTCTGCTTTCTGCATAAAAACATGCTCTCCCTTTGCCCTAGCCCCCCTCTCGCTCTCACCCCTCTCCCCTTTTCTTCTGCAAGCCTTCCTTCTCTCCCCTCCCATCCTTAGTCCAGGCTTCCCCCAGGCTCCTGACAAAGTGAACCCATCCTTCTCTCTCTCCCTCCCCGTCTTTCTTTTCAGTTTTCCACGTTCCTGCATCTCCTCCTTCCTCCCCATCACTCCAGGTTACTGCTGCTTGTTCTTCTGTCCTTCGGTTTCCAGGTTCCCCTCCCTGACTTCTTCTCATTTGTGACCTCTCTAGGAGAGCTTATTCATCCAGGGCCTTTTGCTACCTCTAGACGCCAATTATTCCCAACCCACTGCTCCAGCTCTAACTCTCCTACACCCCAGACCCATTTTCCCAGCTGCCTGTTGGGCAGTTGACTGTCTCATAGACTCCTCGAGCTTACAATATTTAAAAAAAAGTAGTTATTATTCCTCCCCTCCCAACCCTCTGTGTGTCACTTAGGTGAGTGTCACGCTTATGATTCATTCAGGAACCCATGCTGGAAACCTGACTCCCCGCTCCTCCCACTGCCCTCCCGGGGCATGGCCCATCCAGGCGTCCTCCAAGCCTGGTGGCTGTGCTTCTCTAGTGCCTTGCTGCAGCTTAGTAGGGTTTGGAGAGTTGTGCCTCCCTCAGTGTACCTTAGCTTCACAGCTCCCACCACCAAATCTGTATCATTTCTTGCCTGCAGTTTGAAACAAGCCTTAGTTGGTCTCCATGCCTCCTTCCTCAGCCCCCCAATCCAGTGTCCACACAGCAGCCAGCAGGAGCTTTCCAAAAAGCAACCTGCTATTGCCTCCCTGCTTAACTCCTCTTTGCAGCTCCTTGTTTCCTCAGAATAAATCCAAGTGAGCAGGAACAGCCCACCTCCGACCCCCTAGCTGTCTTCAGTCCTCCAGGCCACACTTGAGGCCCAGCTGGATGGAACCACGGTTATTTGCAGTTTCCCAAGCATCCCAGGTTCTCCTGTCTGGGCTTTTGCATGTGCTGTTCCCATTGTCCGGACCAGTCCCCTCCACTTAGAGAATTCCTCCTCCTGCGGGCATCACTTCCCCTCTGCTGGGTGCTCACCACCTCTCTTCCTCCTGACTAGCACTTAGCACAGCTGGGTTGTAATTGCCCTCTGCCTGCGGTCCCAGGCTGGGAGCTTCTCAAGGGTGGGTGTGGCACCTTTTTGTCTGTGTGTGGCCATCCCAGCCTGCCCAAAGAAGGTGCTCAGGAAAGGTTTGTTGAATGAATTCCATTTCTCCCCATGCTGTCCTCCAGCTGGAGATCAATGATGTGACCCGGGCCTGGGGACTAGAGGTGGACCGCATGGAACTGGCAGTGGAGGCCGTGCTCCAGCCGCCCCAGGACAGCCCAGCCGGGCCCAGCCTGGACAGCACCCTCCAGCAGCTGGCCCTCCACTTCCTGGGAGGAGGCATGAATTCAGTGGCAGGAGGTGCCCCCCTACTGGGGCCAGGTGAGAAGCTTCAGAGACCCGGGTGGAGGTGCTCACCAGCTTGGTGCTCAGCTTGGTGTCTTGGCACAGACTTTGCTGCTTGCTCCTGTAACCAAACACCTCTGTGCAGTGGACACCCTGCCCGGCTGTTCAGCCAATGCTGATTCTAGAGCTGAGCAGAGCTAAGGCAGTGAGTGGAGCCCAGGTAGCTGTGAGTGTGTACAGGCCTTTGGCAGCCTCCATGGGAGGAGGTGACAGCACTAGAAGGGTAGCTGGAAAGAGAATTTTACACCCAAGGCTGGAGTAGCTTAGAAATGTTTGAGGGTTTAAGCTGAAAACTCAGGGTCAGCTTCTTAGCAGAGGAGGAAGTTGAACAGAGGCTTGAAGGGAATATAGGAGGAAACTGCCACAAAAGGTGCAGAGTCCACAGTGACCCTAACCTTGGCAACACATTCACTCTTTTTCTCTGCCTCCCTCCCCAACCCTGTTGGCCATCCCCAGCAGACACCTTGGAGATGGTGAGCGAAGTTGAGCTGCCTGCCCCTCATGTTGGTGCTGGGCCCAGCCCAAAGCAGCCTGTGGCTGAGGGGCTGCTGACTGCTCTGCAGCCCTTCCTGTCTGAGGCCCTGGTCAGCCAAGTTGGGGCCTGCTACCAGTTCAATGTCATCCTTCCCAGTGGCACCCAGAGCATCTACTTCCTGGACCTCACTACAGGTGCGACTCTCTCCCTGCCCTCTCCTTCCCACCCAGGTTGCTTGAACTCCCCCCCACACCCATGGTTGTTTGTTAGACTGTGCCTTGCTCCTGCCAGCAGTTTGGGGTGAACCCACTGTAGTCAGGGGCTCAAACATCATTTCCAGATGATGATTATCCAGGCCTGGGTCTCTCTCCCATCAGCAGGACAGCTCAGATAACTGGGCTTCCAATTCCAAGAGCCCTGCACATGTTACAGGTCCAGCATGTGCCAGGCTCTGTGCTGAGTGCATTTTGTGCATTATCTCACCTACTTTCACCATGAGCCTGTGATTCAGAGCTTATCATCATCCCCTTTTCACAGATTTGGAAACTGAGGCTCCAAGTGGTCACACAGCCAATAAGACTAGAACCCAGGGTATTACAACATGAACTCTTAACCAGTACTCTCCACTCTTCCCAGTGGGACATGCTCAACCTCCTCTTCCCCCGTAGCTATCCCCCTACTGATACTCAGTTTTCTTTCCCCACACAGGGCAAGGAAGGGTGGGACATGGGGTGCCTGATGGCATCCCCGACGTGGTGGTGGATATGACAGAGGAAGACCTCCAGGCCCTGTTATGCAGAGAGCTTCGGCCCCTGGGGGCCTACATGAGTGGGCGGCTGAAGGTGAAGGGTGACTTGGCCGTGGCCATGAAGCTGGAGGCTGTCCTCAGGGCCCTGAAGTAGCAGCCTTGGCTGACCATTCACAGCCTAACCCCATGCCTGGCACCAAGCCAGGGGGCCTCTTGGAGGAAGAGACATTGGCCTGCACTATGGAGAGTTGAGGCCCTAAGAAGTTTCAGGCCCAGCCAGGAGCCCATAGATGGAGGCTGAAAGATGCTGGAGGCCGGGAGAGGCAGAGTCAGGCTGCCCTGCACTTCTCACCTGTTGTGGTTCTCTGGACAAGCCTTTGCCCATGTCCATCTTCAGCTGAGTGCCCAGCCCTGGGCGCCCAGCCCTGAGCTGGGTACACAGTGTGGTGACAGCAAGAGAAGGCTGAAACTGCTGGCTACCTGACTGACTAGATAGGCAGGACCCACAGACACAGCCTGCCAACAGCTGCGTTGGTCCCTGTGACTCAGACACAAAGCTCCAGGGGTGGATCAGAGAGGGTGGGAAAGGGGGAAGGAAGGCAGCCTTCAAGAAGAGGGATCTGGGGATCTGGCTGCCTTCCTGGGGGGTGGGAGAGGGCAGCATGGGAAAGAGCAGGCCTGCTGCTCCCTGGCCCTACTCCTGGGGACATCTTGACTCATGTGCCAGCTCTATCTTGCATGCCAGAGGAGCTGGGGCCCAGGGCAGCATGAAGGAGAGCCCTGCCATTCGTACTTCTTTCCAGAGGTTTGAAAACGGTGGACAAATAAATGTGGTGTTTGCAATGCATAGGAGAGAAGAAGCAAAACGGGGGCCATGGAACGGGGTGCTCTAGGAGGGTCAACCAAGGGAAGCCCCTGCTGCTGGCCCAGGCAGGGACCAAGGCCCTGGAGGCTGACACAAGCCCTTGCAATATTTGAAGTTTTCTTTCTTCCTGAGTGTCTCAAAGCCCCTGGGGATCAGTGGTGGGCAGGGTGGGGAACTCTCTGTTCCTCTTTATAGTTGTTTTGCCAGGAAAGAAAGGCATGGGCGTGCCAGAGCTGGTCCTGCAAACGTATTAACTTAATGAGGGGCAGAGTGGGAGGCTCATATCACATTCAAGAGAGGAGTTGGGGCCACTCTCAGCCTCCCCTCCTACCACACCTGAGGTCACTCTTTCTCCACTGGCTGAAAGGAAGGAAACTGACATCCAGGCCTGGCCACAGGCCCGTCCCCAGGAGTTCAACCGAGCTTTCTTTTTTTTTTCCTTTTTGTCTCTTTTTTACTGACCAGTAACGGGATCACAACCCTCGGTGTCGCTCCCCCGTACTGGGGACTGGCAACAGGATCGCAACCCTCGGTGTTGCGCCCGCACCGCGCTCAGCCAGTGAGCGGGAACCGGTCTCCACATGGGATCCGAATCCTCGGCCGGGAGCGCCACCGCGCTCCCAAGCGGTGCACTCTCCAGTGCGCCACCGGGCCGTCCCTCAGCCGAGCTTTCTGCTCCCAAACCCCAGGACCTGAGACAAGGGGCCTCTGATTTCTCCAGTGCTAAAAACAAATATTGCTTCGTGGAGAGACTTGCAGGGAGGCACAAAAGTCAGAGCCTCCCCTTTGAAGAACAGCCCGCAGCTCATCCTCTGGCACCAGGCCTTTCCTCCTCAGGGCTCTCTCCCCTTCCTTGGCACCAGGCTCTGTCCAGTTCACCCCCTGTCCCTGTCAGTGCCAGATGCTGCCTTGTCCCTCCTGTAGATCCTCTGTGTCGCCCGAAGCATCTTCCTAAAGCCCTGCACTGTCCCTGCCTCCTCGCCATCCACCGGGGTTCAGATTTCAGCCCTAGAGCCCTCCCTAGAGCCCCAGCCTGCTGCACCTGCTGCTGCCCCTCTCCCTCACCTGGAGGCCTCTCCTGGGCCTTCCCAGGGCTTTTTTGGGTTGGAGGGGAGGAGTGCAGGAAGGGCTGTCTGTTCAAAAGTCTTCCAATCCCCGTGGCCACATTGCTGCCACTCCTGAGGCCCAGTGAGAAATGGTCCTCTATGCTGTCACCTGGGTTCCCCTCCACTTCGCGCTGTCATTGCATCCATTCCCCACTGTCTGAGTTACTGTTCTTCACATACATGCCTGCCCTCCCCGCTGGACCGTGAACTTCATGCAGAGCGATTCATCTGTGGAGTCCCTCCATTACTACTTACACAAAGTGCTAGCGGGAAAACTCCAGGCACCTTCCCCATGAAAGCTGGCACTGCTCCTTGGTAGGAGGGGGAGGGCGGCAGCAGCAAAAGTGAGATTGTAAGTAGGGAAAACTGGAACTCCTCAGATTTCTTTTGTGGCATGGGAAGATCAACATAACATTTAGGGGAAACAAACTTTTCTGGATGTCTGTGTGGGTGGAGAGCAAGGCCTGCCATCAGCCATTAATACCCTACCCTATGGAGGGGAGCTCATTCCTTGGTAAGGCCAGCATTCCAGGAATCGGAGCCCCTGGGTTCAAGGGCCCCCAGGCTACAGAGGACTGAGGAGACCTTGCAGTCCATAGGGGAGGGAGGGTGAGGGCCATCTAAAGGGTTGGGTGTGGGGAGAGAGGAAGGGTGTGTGTCGATCAGGGGAGGCTTCCTGGAGGAGGTGAGGTTCTCCACATTGCAGCTGCAGCTACATGGGTGATGAGAAGAGATGCAGAAAGCCATTCAGCCGAGGGGAAGTCCCTGCAATGACATAGGAAGGGGCAGCCAAGCAACTCCAACTCGGGGAACTAAAACCTAAAGTATGAGGGATTTGGGGGACAGGGGATAGAAATAGCAACAATTACTGTGAGCCAAATATGTCCCTGTTCTGGACTAGATACTTCCTATAATTTTTTTCTCTAGATACCCTGGTGAATAATGATAATGGTTATATTATGCTAGTCGATATATTAATATATACTGTAATGTATTTTGATGTTATTTTTAAGTAAGTGAATTTTGAATAGCTAATACATCCATATGGTTAAAAAAAATTTAAAGATTAAAGCATACTATGAAAATTCTCTCTCATATACTCCTGGCTCTATCCACATATATCCCACACCTTCCTCTCCTTCTATTAATTTCTTGGTTATTCTTCCAAATTTTTTTTTTTTTCAAACACACGTACAAGAAAACCCCAAAATATTTCCTCTGGGTTTTTGTTATTGCCGTTGTTGTTGTTAAATAAATTGAAACATAGGAAACACAATGTTGCTTTGTTCACTTAACAAGATCCCTTGAGGATCTTTCCATATTAGCACACAAAGACTTTCCCTATTCTTCTTTGTAATTACATAGAATTCCATTGTTTGGATGCTTCATAAATTATTTAACCTGCCCTGTATTGGTTGACGTTTAGATTCTCTCTAGTGTTTTACTACGTTAAACACTGTTGCAGTGAATAACTTTTAATATGTGCTATTTCACCTGTGGTTGAGTTTATCCGTCAGATAAAATATTAGAAGAATTGCTGGGTCAAAGCATTTGTAATTTAATAAATAAAAGTGCCAAAGTGACTTTTTAAAGGACTAAACCAGTTTACAATCCCATCATCAGAGACTGAGAATGTTTTGTTTTTTCCTTATAGCAATGCCAACACAGTGTGTTATTAAACTTTTGGATTTTCTGGATTTTCTTTTTTTTTTTTAGTGACCGGTAAGGGGATCGTAACCCTTGGCTTGGTGTCACCCGCACCGCGCTCAGCCAGTGAGCGCACCAGCCATCCCTATATAGGATCCGAACCCGCGGCCTCGACGCTCCCAGCACCGCATTCTCCCAAGTGAGCCATGGGGCCGGCCCTTTCTGGATTTTTTTTGAGTCTGGTAAGTGAAAAATTGCATCTCAGTGTAGTGTTTTTGTTTATTGCTCTTTTTTAATTGTTTTGTAAGACTTTGATTTCTGGGGCTGGCTGGTTAGCTCAGTTGGTTAGGGTGCAGTGTTAAAACACCAAGGTCAAGGGTTCGGATCCCAGCATGGGCCAGTCACCAAAAAGAAAAAAAAAAAAAAAAAGAAAAGAAATGCTTAGATACACAGAGACAACCTGAAGAAGATACTAATTGTAACTGAGATTGGAATGTAGAACAGTGAACAGCCACCCTGCAAGAACAGCAGATAACTATAATGTGTAATAATCTAGAAATGGAAGCACAGTTGAACATATCTTTCAGATTTTATGTAAAATTTCAATACAGGTAGTCAAGTTATGGGACTGGGAATCATTTCCAATCTCTCTAATGTTGATTTGAACATGATAACCTCAACTTCACATTCCCACTCATATTCTTTCCATATTCTCCTATGAGTTTAGGTTAAAGAAATCAATTAAGATCTTCGATCACATTAGATCACAGAGACTGGTCTGCCTGTGAATGCTGATCAGGAAGAAGGCAAGGGTGGTTATCAGATCCACAGACCTAACCATGAAACATCAACCACAGGGAGGCGGGCAGCAGATTACAGGGTATGAAGAAAGCACAGTAATCCCTTTCTTGTAGACAGAGCACATGTGCAGTGCAAACTTACTCCTTTAGATTCAGATGTTTCTCATATCAAACAAACTCATATTCTTATCTGTCCATTAGTTATCTTTTCTGATACTACTGTACATAGTAGGGTGAGTCCTGGAAGGGTCTTGAGTGCAGGAGCTTCTGTCCCCATGGAGTTGGGGTGCGCCACACTCCCGGCATGTGGATGTGTTCTTGTTCACCTTCTGGAAAGCCCCCTGAACTCAAT